TTTTATATTCTCGATACGTTGATTGTAGCGATATCGTAATGATACTATATTCGAGCTCGGTCTCGCTGAATAGGTTCCCAGACATTCCCGACATTTGTCTCCGCTCTTTTCGCCATCGTGAGAGAAAAAGAGAGAAAATAAACACAAGCGCGCGTCCGGGATAGAAAGTACCGCTCTCGTGGAAAAACAAGAAAGCTGACGAGCAGAAAAGCCCGCAATCAGAATGTCGGGTAATCTTGCCGAGGTTAACCCTGCCGCGAGGGTTAAGGGTGCGATAAGGGCGCGCGATCGGCACTATCAGCCGCTCCGACGAGAATCGAACGGAGGGAAGGAAAAAAGACGACGAGGAAGAGGGGAGGAGAGTGGAAAGGACGGAAGAGGGATTATCTAACAAAGAAATCGACGAGTCGTCGCGCTCGTTCGCATTCGTGCCGATCGCGACGCCATGTATATTCGATTTCCTGCACGCGACTGCACAGGAAATGGATTCGTGCATCCCGTTGCTCGAGAAAGAAGGGTGGCGAGAAGAGGTGGAAATGCAGACGGGGGATAACACAGGAGAAATTAAAGCTCGCCGGGCGCGCTGACGATCTTCACACGCGAAAATTCGGGAATCCTTTATTTCGGGGAAGTTCCGCCAGATCGTTTCGCGAATCACGCGATACGATCTGCGCGCACCAGACGAAATTTAATATGAGCATTTTAGATTCTTTAGATCCTTCCACCTCCTGGCACCGTATAACACTGAGATATCATAAAACTGGTAGTACGATTCTATAATATTTAACGAGGGTCTTTATCGTTATGCTGGCCTTGCATAAATATACAACAGAAATATATAACAGAAAAGCTACGCAATGACAACATAACGATAACGACACTGTCGTTAAGAGTTACAGAATCATACTACAAGATTCGATCGACAAATCTTTCGAATAAAAAAAATGAACCACTTTCGGGAACGATATTGTCAATTCAATTCTACATTAATTAACACGAGAAGGTCGCGAAGGGACCTCAGCATAAAACTATCATTCGCAAATATACACTCCTTACATTGCTACAAATCGCATTAACGTGTAATGTTTTAGTTTCCCGGAAAATTTAATTACACGCCAATGCATAAACATAAAATTAAGGAACATATGCCGTATGCGCAATACCGTATACACGTGCGCGCTAGGTTTAATTTACGTCCGCCATTTGGCTCGCTCTCTCTTTTCCTCCTCAACGATAGAAATCGCCGATGTTTTTATGTAAAAATTGCAACGGTCGGTACCGACTCGTTTGCCCAGCGATATCGATCGAGTAGCGAAATCGAGTACGCTCGGCAGAGATAACAGGCAGAAGTCGTGCGCGCGACGCCACAAGAGTTTTAAATAGATCCACCGGAACGCGCGAACGTAAAGCAATTTATATCGAGCAGCGATACAGCAGATACGGCTTTTCTTCGGGGTACGTACCCCTTTCAGGAGGCATTTACAGCCACCGACAAATCTCGCGTTATAACTTACGAGCCAGATGGCACAAATTCCGCTAGACATTTACACAGCGGTTTTGAACGTGTGTCTCTTATTTCGGCATTTCTCTTGTCTCTCTCTCTTTCTCTCCTTCTCTGCCCCTCTCTCTCTCTTTCTCTCTCTCTCGGTAGGAATTGGTAGCGCGTTGCATCGATATCGAACGGTGTACCACCAACGCCGTTTCCATCGTCGATGGAGTCCGAGGTCTGAAGATTTATAAGAGAGAAACGCACCGTGGCCGCGCCGAGGAACGATAAATAAA